GAACCAGGGCATTTTGTTTAAATAAATCCAAACATGAGTTAGGGAGCACAGAAAGCAAACCCCACCATGCATAACATCTCATTCAAAGTCTATAGGCAACTGTACAATAAAGGAATCAAGTGGCTTGATTCTTCTAAAGCTAATTCACAAAACCCACAAGCAGCAAAAGCACCATCAAATAAACTCCTCTTTTAGCTAAACTATCTTTGGTAGGAATTCTAGCTCGGATAATGAACAATATATGATGAACATAATGAACATGATAACAAACATCTCATTCAAAGTCTACGTTGTTGGACCTTGAGATACGCCAAGGCACCCTGTTCGAGAATGCCGTTGCGGAACTGGTAGGATGTGTAATCGATATGGTCACCCTGCAATTCTCGCCGGCAGGAGTATCACTTACAGACTTACAGTCAAGGATGGTGGCAACATTTTTGCTGCTCTGCGTATCCTCTCCGGAGGTTGCGATTTCTTCAACTGTTGGGAATCTTGCTCTAGAAGACTAAACATCAGAACCTCTTCATATTCTTTTCGACGCAAATAACGGAAGAAGTGCCTTATCCATCTCAATCGACTCCAGAGAAGAAGATTCCGACGAAGAATACAACCCCGACGAACCGAACCGTAATTTCTAGAACCCCTCTTCATTTCCTGTTTCAGGAATCGAAATTGATTGAAAACCCCTATCGAATCTAACTCAATTTCTTGGGTTTTTCTCTTGAAGTGTCTTCCGCCACTCTCAAGATCGTCTGGTTCGACCCATCTCAATATGCCGATCAAGAAACCCAAGACGCTAAATGCCAGACCGGCCTTTCGACTTCTCAGAGAAATTAAAGATTGCCCATTCACTCTGCTTCTTTTTCTTTGTCAAACCAGACTACTGCAAGATGAGTCTTCACGTCGGTGAGGTAGCTGGAGAAAATGAGCTTCTGAAATGCGGTGAATCAGAGTATCTGTTGATGGCCGGAATTGCACTGGCAGGGTTTGATACACCGTTCTCGAAGCTGAAAGAAGTCACGGCAGACCGGCGGAGGATAATCGTTCATGTGATTTCTCAAATCTCCATTTTATTTAATTAGTTATTCTGATTTATCGATTAATTTTTTAATTCAAGCGACGTCGTTTTAATCTCTTGTTTATGTAGATGCTGAAATAAAGGTGATTGCCCTCGTAAACAACTCGAGTTTAGGCTTCCTTTCATGCCGCCGAGGTTGGGTCCATAAAGAGATATACTTTGGTCCAATTCCCCTCTCGTTTAGTTTTGGGTAATTATTATTATCCATGGCCCACGAGTTAATTTCTATTCTGTTTTTGACCTGTAATTTACTAATGATTAAAAGTAAAAATTAAAATGTTTTGATATTTTTAATATCAGAATATATAATAATAATTTAAAGATGAATTTGATAAAAAAAAATTTATATTATATTTTACATATTAAATGGTTATAATTAGAGATCCTAACATTAAAAGTGTCTAAATATTTTGTTTTTTCTCATTTTCTTTACTAATTTTCGCCTTATATGAGATTTTTATTTCTTTTGTGTGTATTCGAGATTTGAGATTTGTATTTTCATTTTAAGTATTATTTCGTGGACATATTCATATATAATTATCTTTATTATGTGAACTCCAAAAGTTAAATCTATTAATAAATAAGTATTGCCTTATAAATTAAGATTAGGGTTTAAGTTTTTGGGTTAGTATTTAAAGAGATTAATTTTTTGAAATACATAGTATGCCTTGATTAATTTCAAAGTACATGAAAATTAATATTAAATGAAAAAAAAATATTGTCATTGTTTATTAGCTTTATAAAATGCATGAAAGCTGAATCCTAATAACGTCTAACCAACATACCAATTGAAATCAGTACCATAGCCTAGTGAGCGGCTTTTTGTGAAGTTTTTAATATGTAGGGGATATAGTCATAAACTAAGGAAATTATACAGATATATTAATTGATGCATTATTTAATTATGTGCAGGAAGGAGGCATTGAGATTAATTGGGAAGAGGATTTTGGGATTTGCATGGGGATATATGATTTTGTTCTCTTGTGCAAGCGCATTTTCACAGCAGAGGAAGTTGGGCATACAAGATGTTTTTTCACATATACAAGAGATGTTGCCAAATCGATTGAGATGCCCTCTTGGGTCAGGAGAACTAGGAAGCCTCTATTTCCACTCTATTCATAGCCCTTTCTGTTTGCGTGTACCTTGGTTTAATGTGCTTACTTAGAATTTTTTAGAAACCCTCTGAGGTTATAACTGAGCAAGGAAAAAAAGTGAAAAACATTAGTTCTTTGATTGATGATTTATATACTTAAATTGTAGATGCAACACTGAAAATTCGCTAATTACTACCTGAAATGAGTGTTGGGATTTCTGTTTTAATATTGTTTTGATATTTGTTTTGTTCGATATAACATACAATAATATAAGTCACTTGAGTAAAAGTTAAGATCACTATCGTTTATAATTATGTCAATAAATTCATGTTGCTAAATATTTATACACTAATAGTTAAGTAAATAGAGGCTGAGAGAAAGAGGAACACAAGGTTTACGTCGTTCCAATCCCATGAGCCGAACTTGTTTGGGTTGTGTTTACACCATAAATTACAAAATTTTAGATTAATGTCACGTGTAAAATTTTTATTGGCTGGAGGAGTTTTGAGCCATGTCAGATTCGGATCCTGGGCCCCATGACAAATCAGCACGTGAGTTGGCAAAATAAGAGAGATAAAGATAATGTTGAGTAATTATCTTTTGAAACAGAAAGAGATAATGGCAGTTGGCAAGATAGGGGAGGATCACATTTAAAAAGGAGATTTTATCTGATAAAGTCCAGGTGGCAAATTCTGAAAGGGGTTTAGACTGGGTCAAAGGGTGAGGTGTCCCACTACTCCAACAAATTT